GGGCTAGGTTTCAACCAATGAGGCTATGAGCTGCTCTGCTTTTTCACTGAGGGGAACACTGACAGTTCACACACTACATTCACATTAAACAGACCAGGTTTTCTCCAAACATGTCAGCAATGTTAAGGAAAAGGAAGGGGACAAGGTTCTTATAGTGAAATGAGGTGAAGGAAAAGGGTGTGCCACAAGGGGGAGAGGTGAAAAGAGGTGGAGAGAGAGGGAGATGCAGACACAGAGCGAGGGAGTGAGCTGTGTTCTAAACTCTGGTCAGCTATTTAAAGCTTGTGCCTGCTGCAGAGTAGGAGCTTCATTAATAAAAGACGCAGTTTCAGAAAAGGGTACTGATGCAAGGGAGGGAGAACACAGAGACGTACAGGGAAAAGAAACATCATTTTAAAGAACCACCAAAGAGCAAGGAAAGACACTGAATCATAACTACAGGTCAAATTACAGAAACTCATCCTCGGTTTGTCTACCCTCAGTCTAATGTATAAGTGTAAAAGCCACTTCCTTCTTTAAACATTTTACACTACACTGCTGACTATTTTTTTGTTCACTGTGAGGGCTATCCAGTAATCTAATGATCATCAATCAAAATAAGAGTATCAGCGTTAAGGCCAAAACTCCCCAAATTATCCATATGTTAATGGTGTAAAATGATTTCTGAGTGACAATTACTTACATGTCGAGGTGAAGAGGAGTCGGGTTGAACACTCTGTCAATAAAGAACAATCCAGGTAAATTCACAAATATTCTATATTTAATGCCTTGATAAACTTCTAAAAAAAAACAACTGATGTTTTAACATACTATTAAAAAAATTTATCAACTGCTTCTTTGTTAACTTCAGTATTCACCTTTAGTAAGGAATACTGGCAACTGGCAATGACGAGGCAGAACTGAAACACCCAGATATCAGTGAAGAAGCCATGGATCAGCAGCACTGAACTGAGGAAGGCCACCAGGACAGCGAGAACCACCGCTAGCACATTCTCTAAGACCTCACGGTTCCTGAAACAGCAGCCGAGAAAGGTCAGTCTACAGGTACGTTCATCAGTTCTTGGACACAAGACTTCCATAGCATTAACGCACATTATCCACATCAGATTTAAGTAAATAAATGCAAAAATATAAACGGTGTACTGCACAGAGAGACCTTCATATTAAAGACCCAAATGCTGTTCTAAAAATGGGGGTTAATACTGGATTTATAAATGCCAGTAAAAGGAGAGGTTCTAAGAAGGGCAAGACATTTCAGAGTCTGGGCGAAAATGCAAAAAAGGCTCAGTCACTCTTAGGTTGTATTAGGGAGCATGTAGTGATCAGTTAGTACATTTGAGAAGCTGGAAGGCAGAACAGGAGTCAAAGAGGTCTGAGATAAAAACCAACACCAACTCATGCAGTCCTTTAAAGCAAATAATCTTAAAATCAATTCTGTTTCTTTTGATTTAAAGAATGGTCATCAAATCCTTTAAGAAGAAGAATGATTTTAATTTGGAATAGAACTAGCTACAGAGTTGATCTGTTTGTTGACTGCTGTATTTGAGGACAGCTAGGGGCATCCAGTAATGTTGGTAAATGCACTGCCAGAATCTGTGGAGCCATGCAACTTCATGGTGAGTGTTTGTAGCTGCGTGTAGCTACAAGTACTACAACAGAGACAGGCTGTTGTCGTGTCCGAAAAGTCCAATGGCACCATATACTGAAAGATACCTGGGATAGAACCTTGGGGTACTCCTGTGGAGATGCACGCAGAGAACAACTAATTTGTCATTTTAGTAAGGAAGCAAACGCCTGTATAGCATTACCAGAATTTCTGTACTATCATACCAAGAGTTTTTTTTTTCTGTTGAATCTCTCCTAAATGTTTTTGGGAACACAAAAGCCAACATTATCCCATCGACCTCAAATAGCCTGTAGAGAAATTATTAAAGAAACATGCGCATATCTGAAGTGTGGGGGGTTCATCTGTCAGTAATGGGTCTCAATGTATTATATCCACATGTAGTTGTCAGTTGTCAGACTTCTGTTTCATTTGCTGTTTATTGGTTTGTAACTGTGCTGCAGCCATCCTGCCCTGTCCTTGATTTCAGTGGTACTGACCTGATTAAATAAATGGATAATAATGTGTAGAATTTTAATTGGTAGACACACTTGTCTTATTAGTCTAATACATTTGGCTTCTGGCGTGGTTCATCAAGATGAGTTACCCTGCTGATATGTAAAAGAGAAAAAGAAACTTAGGTCAAAGTAATAATGTGTGTTATCTGCTACCTTGCTAATTATAAATAGTATATGTAGGGATTATTCTGTTAACTAAGTTAAGTTTTTGTAACAAACTGCACAAGGTGGATCTGGATAACAATTATGGCAGGAAAAGTACTAATGCAACCGCAGTTGACTTTTCAATGGTTAAACACTTAGAGGGATGAGATATTACTTATACTTACCCTTTTCTTGATACAACATAATTGCAACACAATTCACATG